CTGAATGTACTGACCTTCACCAACAGCAGGGGGCGCTGTGGCTGGCCTCCTTTCAGAGAAGAATTTGTCCAGAGATTTATCAGCTTCTTCTGCAGGCTGGGCCTTGGCTTTCTCTGTCAGCAGAGAGAAGACTGTGAGCAGTTTATCCGTGGGGTAAATAATCTTCATATTTTATCAAAGCAGGAGCTGAGATAACAGATACAGTTATGTTATTAGATTTTAACACGTTTCTAGAGTAGCACATAGCAGTACTTCTTGTTAGTATTATGGACATCAGACCACAGCACCATTCTGATTTTTATTAGTAACCTTCGCCCACCATAAACACCTGCTTCTTATACAGACGCACGTTTATGTTGTGGTTTAATTAAACCATTAACGTGTAGTTATTTTTTGCAGATGAATACCATCAAAAGAATGTGTCCTGTCATGCATTCTTAACAGGCCATTCAGCACGCATCAGCAGAATGCAAAATCGTCTTCACTGTCAGGGAAACTAAAAGAGACTGGAAGGCTGGAGTACACGAGAGCTGTTTTACTTTTGTTTAGAGGATTTTTATGCTGCAGTTGCATGAAATGTGGAGGTATCGCACTCATTCCTATTCACTGAGGACTATCTTTAGGTGCAGGCGATTTCTGCACAACAGGAAGTGTAATAACCCCCAAAATCAACTCCTATACGCTTCGTCTGCTGCGACCTTTGCTGCATACCGTACTTTTCTTTGTCTGTCTCTCTGTGACCTTGTTTCCAGCCTCTGTCTAGACTGCCAAAACAAGACAAAAGGAGAGGTCGTCTGTTTTCTTACTGATGTGTGTTCTGCGTGGCGGGTCTCTGTCTGATGGTTTGGAGCTGAACCGAGCAGCCTGTGGCGTCCACATCACTCTACAAAACTCCCCGTGGATCCGCTGAACATGCACACATACAGAACCACACATAAATCATGAATGCTCACATTTCATTTTAATGTCATTTACTTTCAATTCAATTTTATGTATTTATAAGACCCTAAAATTATACAAAGGAAAATAGAGTAAAGCCCAACACTCATATGACCCCCTATAAGCAGATGCTTTGGCAACAGTGGGAAGGAAAAACTGCCTTTTAGCAGGAAGAAGCCGCCAGCTGAAGGGAGGGGCATCCATCTGCTGGGAATGGTTTCCAAGACGGTGCCTAAAAAGGGGCCTGTGAGGTGGGACTAGAGTATTTTATTCTTACAGTGGGCGTTATGTGTTGTAATAGTACTCAGTACACGAGAGAAAATGCTTATATTGCATAAACTGAAACTTATCTCGCTCTGCTTCTGAAACAATCTTTGCCTGTTGTCCATAAATATATTTCACAAATTCACATTTAAAAATAAGAGAAAAACACCATCACAATTTTTTGATATAATATTAACAGAATCTTATGGAAGCCCGTTTCCACCACACAAAAACACAAAGGATCCATGACTCTAATTTTTTAGTTATTTTCTCGAAATAAAGTTAAATGGAAGTGTTTTCCTCCATTCATCTGATTTGGGATTAATAGGCGATTAATAGCCATAGTACCCGATATTTAGCCTCAAAATTTTGAAAAACCTTAAGCTTAAGAAGCATTTTACACAATAATAATTTAAAAAACATCTCTCAAAAAGTTTGAGAGTAGCAGTAACATCTAAAACAGCCCATCTTCATGCTTTGAAGATGCCCTCTTGCTACATGGGGTCACCAATTGTTTGATTTGGCAGTTTTATGTCGGGTGCCCTTCCTGACATAAGCCCAAAGAGGATTTCTGCTCGGCCTTCATCCTTTTTTTCATCCTTTTTTTTTCCATTTTTTTTTTATTATTATTATTGTTAAAGAAACCAAATAAGAGTAGGGATACAAAATTGTGCATATTCCCTTGGATTTTTTCATTTAAATATCAGATGGTCAGATGGTGGACTGACTTGGAATTACGTCACACTCTCATTTCCAGTTGGCCTTGGAAAAGACAAACACAAAAAATGGAAAGCACAGGTCTGAGAACATTTGACACGCCCACTGGTAAAACACTGCCCCCTGGTGGTAACAGTTTATTTTACAAACAGTAGCCAGAAGAACTTTAATTAAATTCACATTCCCACCTTACACTGCACATAACGAGATTTCATTGCATTTGCTACAGTTGTGCAAATAATGAGCAGCATTTTAAACAAAATCACAAAAACATGAGTGGTAAAAAGTCTAATTGTATATACAACTAAGTGCAGATATAAATATGTTGCAAATGTCTGCGCCTACTTTTTTATTGCAGATTACAAACATTTAGCAGCTTTAAAGTCTGAGTTATTTAATATGCAGATATTAAACTACTCGCATAAAATGATCTCCAGCTTAATGAAACAATAATCATGATCCAATTTGACTGGTTAACTTGTGTAAAATGATTAGTCTAAATTAGTCTAAATACTTGCAGTTATTTAGTATAAAACCATGCTTAGACTCTGTGACTGAGCGCCACTGCCATCTTTATTAGAGCACAGCGTTTCTCATGAGCCGGAAAACCAGAGAAACCAGTTCATCTAAACTGGACTCATTTACAATAAAATGATTCGGTTTCATGTGGGGCCTCTCAATATTAGTCCCTAGAGCTCTCTCAGTGATGAGCTGAGGATTAGGATGTTACAGAGTTTCAGGGAATAAAACTAAAACTTGTTATCAGTGTGTGTGTGTGTGTGTGTGTGTGTGCATGCCAGGCTGTTAATCAGCTGTAAAGTAATGAGAAGCTGCA